GAATTTCTTGAAAGTGGAGGATGACACACTGGGTAGCAAAATTTCAGCCTTTCAGCTTTCCTGGTTACTGAGATGAAAGTGGGTGATAAAATGCAGTCGTTTCCGCGCACACACACACGCGCACACACACGCAAACACACACGCACACACACATACACAGCCTCTCTACAATATGCGTTTTTACTGGCTGTAGCAACGCTATGGCGCTGCACAACAAAAACGCATAAAAAGTCACAAACACTGTAGTAAAAATGCGTGGCAGTGTGGAGTTAGTATTTGAAAAAATCCGGAAATTCGGTACTTTGTTCTTGGATGACTATAAATCGCCTCGTTTCTGGCAGCGCTAACAAATCCCACCTCGCAGCAAACAAGCCTACGAATGAAGTGAAATGCTGCAGACCACTGGAAGCATTTTAAATCAGTAAGGCATAAACAAATACTTTTACTCAAAAGGCATTTTTACGCGTTTTTGCTTATATGCAAATTGCAAAAACACGTATTACAACGACTGTGCCTGTGTGTGTGCTTGTGTGTGTGTGTGTGTGTGTGTGTGTTCGTCTGTCTGGATGTTTCAACTCGGCAACCAAGCAAGCTCCGGCGCCGAAGCTTTGTTAGTGGTTTTCCCGGCCGCGTGCCACTCCAGAACCGCGGTAACAAACCTTATGCAAGCCTGGGCCCCGTGTATGAGAGGGTGAAAGTTTTGGCGAGAAAATTGCTGACTCGGGGACGGGAAAAGCTAGAGAGCTGAAATTTTGAGATTATGTTCCCCGTCCATATAGAATCAAAGATTTCAAACTTAGCCTCCGAATGTGCATGGTTCAGCATACAGCCCCGTAAGGGTTCCTGATGCGAAAATCGCTAACTTGGGAAACAGGAAAGCTGGGAAGCTGAAATTTTCAAGAAACGCTCTCAACATAAACCTATCAAGTCCAGCCGCCCAATCGTAAGTGTTTCTCATGTACGGCCCCGTAAGGCTTTTTGGCGGGAAAACGGCTAACTTGGGAACTAGCAAAGCTGAAAAGCTGAGATTTTAGGAGAATATTCTCCATCCAAATACTAATTAAAGGTTTCAAATTGAGTCTTCATGTGCGCATGGTCCTCGCATCCGGCACATATATTTTTGGCGGGAAAATTACTCACTGAACAGCTGGGTTATTTCCAAAGACGACTGCTAAATGGAAATTGTTTATTTCCCTTTATGCAAAATTTACGATGATTTATGGTACTGAGCACACAAGGTAGCAGTGAATAAACAACCGTTTATGCAGTTAACCTAATTATTTCAAGTCTGGTACAAAAACATATGATCGCACCGGCTCGCCTGGTGAGTCCTAGCCTGGGTTTCCATCGAGACCATCCGAAGAAGCAGTGGGGAACTAGCCATAAGTCAGTGATATTATTGGCATGCTCTCCACAAACTTTATTAGAAAGCCAAGGCCCCTCTGTCCCGCACAGTTCTAAAGACAATGTCCGCTGCCTTTACCTATGCACACGCATAATTTGATGGACAATGGCCAGTAGAAAACAGCTACGTTCCGAACTGCTGCGTGACTGGACTGTTAACTGAAAGGTTGATAGTTTAAGCCCACTCTGGAGTTCCAGTCAGCAGGTATGGTGCAGTAGGATAGCATTACTGGTCATGTAGTAAGCCGGAAGTTCAACTTTGCAGCTGGAACAACCCATCCTTCTACGACTCGTTTCAACGGTAAATTGGTACTGACATATGCCAGGGAGTCAAAGCCGTTACCAGCCTGATTGTAAGCAACCCTCAGAAAAGGAAGCCATCCACAGCCCTTGCCAGCAAACGGTTGCTATTGACATTTGCTACCCGATCTGCTACTCGACAGTTGCCTTCATCTTTTACTGAGAGTAAAATATACGGAACAGCTTTGACTTTTGACGCGGTAGTGCTGAAGGTAGAGGGATTGATTTTGCTAGTAGGAGAACCATACGTCAATGATTCGTTTATTTGTTTCGATGGTAAATTGGTATTAGCACTTACCAGTTCTTTTAAGGAGCTCTCAAAAGAGAAAGCCATCAACAGCTCTGCCGGTAAGTACTTGTTACTGGCACATACCGTCATCTCCCACTGAAACTGGGTCCTGGGGGAATTTTAATTTTGTCTCTTTGCTAGAAACTCATTATTCTCACAAATTACTGAATTTAGTGCAAAATACACATCAATAGAAATTGAAGCAATCGTCGTGCTGTGTTCCCACTCGCTGCCGTACCTCATGAAGCCCGCTTTCACGGCGGTATTCGCAAACCCTAAAATTTCCTCATGCACTAAGCAGGGTTTACAGTTAGGCTAACTGCAGTGCAAATCTCGTGCGTTGGCCGTTCGTCTGGACGGAAGACTGGCACCGGATGTATTGGCATCGGAGACGAGACAAGTGTAGTATCTACCATAGTGTCTACCTGCAGCAGCAGAGAGCTGCCTGTGATATTAGTTATACAGCTTCATCAAGAAGCTGACTTTAAAGCGATCCTTCCTCCTCTTCCATTCCCTGCCTCCCGTCGAGAAATTAGCTTTTCGCCCAAGTACCATCTGCCATCGATGCTGGTGTACGTTGTATAGATGTGTCTCGTGGAACCCTTTTTCCAGGAGAACGCGGAAGATGTGCAAGCGAATGGACAGAAAGTTGATCCTAGAATGGGAGAGTCGCACATGGCGTGAGAACATGCTTCTAAAACTTTAGCTTCCTAGCCTCTCTAGTCACTAAATTGAAAGCGGATAACGAAGTTCATTATTTTCACCCCCCAGTTAATACGCATAGACGATCTGTCGAAAATATGCGTCTTCGCACTTGCATAAATTATGCAAAAAGCGCATAAATTCTGCATTTGCATAAGTGCGCAAAAACACGTGAAAGCGGCCTGCCCCTGCGGATCCTGTGAACGTCAGTCAGCCACTATCATTTATGCAAATTCGTACGCCTTTATATAAACGATGAAAAGTGCGATGCAGCCAGTATTCATAAAAAACTTCCTAGAAGCTGTTTTCATATTATTTCGGGTCTTGACTTCAATTGGTCTCGAATGAGTTGGGCAACGCGAGGGATGCATTCTAAGGCGCAGCGAGCCGGAGCAGGGCGATTAAGCAGGGCGCCGGGGCATGAAAGTGCGCGAGTGGTGCGTCGCGGCACCTCATCAGGAATACGCAATGTCCAAGAAGGAAGAATTCGAATTGGGAGCATCGTCCCGCTGTTATCGCGTAGAGCTAAGCTCCATGTCATGGTATACACTACTTTATGCATGCTGAGCAGGGAATAGGTAAAATAGCGGGATTTTTACGAAACATGAAAAGGCCTTCTGCTCCTCGAACTTCTCCAGGATTTCTTATTTTTTGTCACAGTTTTATACTGAGTGTGTGTGCTTTCCATTTTTTCCTGTCTGTTGGGATGAGTAATTCGAGACCGCTAGTTCTGAGGGATGATCTTATCTGAGGCATTTTGCATTTACTGGTGATGCGTGCTTTTTTGTAAAACATTCTAGGATGGTCACTACGACGATGAAAGCTCGGAAGAGGACGAGTATGGCGTCTCGGACACTAGCT